AGTGCCTCTGGGTTTCCGCCAGTTGCGCTTAATTTTGATATATCTGTCTGGTGCCGGATGAACTTCTTGATCCTCTTTTTAATGATCTTGGGCTGTATCAGAGGTCTGAGGATAGCCATGAGGCCTTCAAGAAAGAGACAGAGATGGTGTCAAGCAGTCCCAACAATAGATGGCTGCCACCTCTGCAGGCAGCGGTGAGGAAAAGAGCCCCATCCTTTCTAAATAAATAAATCTAAAAGAATAAATTTCATAAACATCTTTTGGTCAAAAAAATATAATATTTTTCTTTAAGTTATCTAGCTAATGTACTCTTTGTTAACGACTATGTGAAAGTTCTTAATTGTTTTTGTCTGAAAATCAGTCTTGCACATTTATTGTTGCAACATTTTATTCCTGCAGCCAGTATTTTATATATATATGTGTATATATATATATATATATATATATATATACATATATATATATATTTGAACTCACTGATAGAATTTTGAAATAGGATTTACCTGAGGCGATTTTTTTTTTTTTGGCCTTTTAGATAAAGATTGCTTGTCATGTTTATCTATATTTGAAAATGAATACTCATCTTTGAGATAAGTTAGAATGTCCAACTTATTCTCGTTACTGCCTTATTCTCATCTGACCTTATGTATCTTAGATATGTGTGAACTCACCATCCAGGGATGCTAGAAATGACGTTAGAGCTTAGGCTGTTCAGTTTTCCAAAGCCAACTTTTTTTTTTTTTAAGATTTTATTTACTTATTCATGAGAGACACAGAAAGAGAGGCAGAGACATCGGCAGAGGGAGAAGCAGGCTCCCTGCAAGGAGCCCAATGCGGGACTTGATCCCAGACCCTGGGATCACACGCTGAGTCAAAGGTAGACTTTCATCCACTGAGCCAGGAGTCCCTCCGAAGCCAACTTTTAGTGCATCTGAACTTGAAGCTCACTAAAGCAACGTAGGCCAGGTTCTGTACATAAGGTGATTCAAGGAAAGATTTTCATACTGTGGCACTGATAGAGTCTCTGCATTATTATAATCACTAGAAATAAAGATTCCACCCCCACCCCCGGAACTACTCTAGGAAGAAACATTTCATTGTTATGAAATCCTACATTAGTTTTTATAAAATGTTGAAATTATATCATACAAATATATGATTTATTAACATTATTTTTTAAAAAATTTAGGGATGCCTGAGTGGCTCAGCAGTTGAGCATCTGCCTTTGGCTCAGGGAGTGATCCCAGAGTCCTAGGATCGAGTCCTGCATCAGGCTTCCTGCATAGAGCCTGCTTCTCCTCTGACTATGTCTCTATCTGTCATGAATAAAATCTTTAAAAATTTTTTTTAAATTTTAAACATTTTTAAAAGATTTAATTTATTTATCTGAGAGAGAGTGAACAAGAGTGAGAGAGAGAGAGCACGAGCTGGAGTAGGGGCAGAAGGAGAGGGAGAAGGCCCTCCGCTGAGCAGGGAGCCCCATATGGGGGCTTGATTCTGAGACTCCAGGATCAGGACCTGAATCCAAGGCAGCTGCTTAAGGGGCTGGGCCACCCAGGCACCCCTATTAACATAGTTTGATTGTTTGTCCTCATGGTTTAAATGACAGTATGAGTTCTTTAAGACCTGGGAACTTGTCCTAATATGTATGGTTGGTTAACCTTTTTTTTTTTTTTAAATCATACAGAAAATGAGAAATGCTGGTATATGTCTGTATTAGGACTCTATGGCCCAGTAGGGGAGGGAAATAGCTCTTAATATATATCCCCCATTGTTTTGATTGTTAGGAAGAGGCTGGATTATTTAACAGACTTGGAAAGAACGTCCAATGCAGTACAAAGAGATTTACTGACAGTATTATAAGAGCCTAAAGCAACAAACAAAACTGATGACAACACAACCCCTGGTGATACCATGACCCAATTGGAAACTCCTTTTATGATGTAATGAATACAGAGCAATCCATCTGAAAGTACTTGCCAGCACTTATGAAATGTGCTAGGAACTGACAGGCAAAGAAGCTTAGTTCCTACTCTCAAGGCCTTTGTGTGTGAGTTGTGAATTGAGAGCTAGGACATGAAAGAGGGACTGATGATCACAAGTAATAAACTGAAGATGTCACAGGAATGCTTTGGACTGTAAGGGCTATAGGAATTAGGAGGAAAGGGCAGCCCCGGTGACGTAGCGGTTTAGCGCCTCCTGCAGCCCAGGGCGTGATCCTGGAGACCCTGAATGGAGTCCCACGTCAGGCTCTCTGTATGGAGCCTGCTTCTCCCTCTGCCTGTGTCTCTGCCTCTCTCTCTCTCTCTCTCTGTCTGTCTCTATGAATAAATAAATAAAATCTTTAAAAAAAAAAAAGGAATTAGGAGGAAAGTATCACCTTTGTAGGATGATTCAGGAAGACTTCTCGGAGGAGGTGGTATTTAAGCCGGGCCTTCAATTCACCTGTCATTTATTACATGTTTTGAATGGGCCAGGCATTGTTAACTATAAAGATGAATAAATAGAAGTAAGACTTGGGGGGTAAGTATGTCCACACTTGGGGCTTGGGGGGTAAGTATGTCCACACTTGGGGTTTGAATGCCCAACCGAAGAGTTCAGATGTGATCCTGTCAGCCAGTGCTGTCCATCAGAACTTTCTTAACTGATGGAAATGTTCCATCCTGCCTTGTCCAATATGAGAGCCACTAAGCCACATGTGACTTTCAACCACTTCAAAAAAGGGCTAGTGTGACTGAGAAGCTGGATTTTTTTAAATTTTTAATTAAATTTACAAAGCATACATGGTTAGTAGCTACTCTATTGAATAGCACAGCTCCAGGCAGTGGATAACATCTGCTGATTTTTAAGCTGATAAATGATATTCCTAAAAGGACCTTTTAAGGTAGGTCTTGCACAGATGGACTAGAGAAAGACAAGTGGGGGAACCACACTAGAGGAGATTTTTGCAGTCATCTGGGCTTGAGGTGACAGTGATGTGATTCAGGATGATGCTGGTAGGAATGACAAGGACTGGATTCCCAAAGAGTTCTAAGAACTAATAGGACTTGGTGACTAACTGAGAGTACAGGAGATGAGTTTTTAGCCTGGGTGAATATGAGAACGGTGATATCCATTAAGGAGCTGCTGTTGATGGGGATCCCTGGGTGGCTCAGCGGTTTAGTGCCTGCCCCTTCGACCCAGGGCCTGATCCTGGAGATCAGGGATCGAGTCCCACATCAGGCTCCCTGCATGGAGCCTGCTTCTCCCTCTGCCTGTGTCTCTGCCTCTCTCTCTCTCTCTCTCTCTCTCTGTGTGTGTCTCTCTCATAAATAAATAAATAAAATCTTAAAAAAAAAAAGGAGCTGCTGTTGAGAACAAAAAAGCCTTTTTTTTTTTTTTTTAATGCACATCCAGTTTGAAGTCAGTGTGGGCAGGGCTAATATCAGCCATCATGTGAAGCCTAACAAATCTTCGAATAGCATTGCAGCTCAGCAAAGGAGCCAGGAGAAGAGATGCAGATGTGGGACACCTGGGTGGCTCAGCGGTTGAGCATCTGCCTTCAACTCAGGTCATGATCCTGGGGTCCTGAGATTGAGTCCCGCATTAGGCTCCTTGCACAGGGAGCTTTCTTCTCCCTCTGCCTGTGTCTCTGCCTCTGTGTGTCTCTCATTAATAAATAAAAATCTTTAAAAAGAAAAAGCCATCTTGAAGGGAGTTAAGGAAATAAGTACCAATAAAATCAGGGATGTAATATCAATTAATGTGATTTGGCAGTGAAAGAACAGAAACTGGATGGTGAAAGAGGTCTTTCTCGGGTTTTGTTTTTAGAGAGAGCGAGAAAGGGAGAGCATGAGTGAAGTAGGGGCAGAGGATAAAGGAGAGAGAGAATCCTCATACACACTCCCCAGTGAGTGTGGAGCCCAGTGTGGGGCTCAATCTCACAACCCTGAGATTGTGACCTGAGCTGAAATCAAGAGTTGGATGCTTAACCAACTGAACCACGCAGGCATCCCTCAATTTTTTATTTTGAAAACTTTTTTAGATTTAAAGTCCTGTGAATACGGGGATCCCCAGGTGGCTCAGTGGTTTAGTGCCTGCCTTCTGCCCAGGGCATGATCCTGGAGTCCTGGGATCGAGTCCCACATCGGGCTCCCTGCTTGGAGCCTGCTTCTCCCTGTGCCGGCTTCTTCCTGTGCCTGTGTCTCTGCCTGTCTCTCTCTGTGTCTTTCATGAATAAATAAATAAAATCATTAAAAAATAAAAATAAAGTACCATGAATACCAATATAGCCTCAATCTAGATTCAAGAATTATTAACATTTTGCTACATCTATTTGATCTTTCTGCGTTTCTATATAAAATGTATGGAGTTTGGTGTTTTTGTTTTTTTGCAAAACCAATTGAAAGCAAATTGTAGGCATCATCTCATTTTACCCCAAATACTTAAGCATCATATTTAAATGGTAAGGACCTTCTCCTACATAACCGCAATACCATGGTCACACTTAAGAAAATGAATAACTCTACTATATCTTCTAATATCCATTGCATATTCATATTTCTCTAATTATAAAAATATCAGGGATCCCTGGGTGGCTCAATGGTTTGGCGCCTGCCTTTGGCCCAGGGTGTGATCCTGGAGTCCTGGGATCAAGTCCCACGTTGCATTCCCTGCATGGAGCCTGCTTCTCCCTCTGCCTGTGTCTCTGCTCTCTCTCCCTCTCCTTCTCTCTCTTTCTGTCTCTCGTGAATAAAATCTTTAAAAAAAAATTATAAAAATAACTATTTTTTATAGAAAATGTTATTTCCTCAATTCAAGAGCCAATTAAAGTTTACAAATTGTGTTTGCTTGTTATGGCTCAGTAGTGACTTTTAACCTGTCACATTCCTTTGTCCTTTTATCTCCTTGAAACATTGACGTGTGAAAGGCCTAAGACAATTTGTCTTGTAAAATGTCCTATGTTTTGGATTTGTCTGATTATATTCTCCCACTAAAACTTTCCTTTTTACTGATTTCAGACAACCTGTATCCAAAAGGATGGAGTTGGGAGAAGGAAGACTTCTCAGGACAGGGATGAATGCATTGTACCAGGCAGTACACCCAGTTCATGGCCTGGTCTGGACTGACGGGAATCAGGTAGTCCTAACTGATTTACAGCTTCACAGTGGAGAGGCCAAGTTTGGGGACTCCAAGGTCATCGGACAGTTTGAACATGTATATGGGGTGTCCTGGGCCCCGCCTGGTGTAGCTGACATGGCTGCTCTACTCGCTGTCCAGCACAAGAAGCATGTCATTGTGTGGCAGCTGTGTCCCAGCAGTACGGAGACGATCAAATGGGTGATGTCTTGGATCTGTGAGATTAGACAGTCACTCCCTGTCCTTCCCCAGGGCTGTGTGTGGCATCCAAAGAGTGCTGTCCTGGCTGTATTGACTGCACAGCATGTGTCAGTCTTCCCAAGTGTTCACTGTGACGGCTCCAGGGTGAAAGTGGACATTGACACCCAGGGCCTCATTCACTGTGCCTGTTGGACCCAGGATGGCCGGAGGCTGGTGGTGGCATCTGGTAGCAGCCTGCATTCCTATATTTGGGACAGTGCTCAGAAGACTCTCCACAGGTGCTCCTTCCATCCTGTGTTTGATGTGGACAGCCATGTGCGCTCCCTTAGTGCCACTGTGAACTCACAGGTCGCTATAGCCACTGAGCTTCCACTAGATAAGATTTGTGGCTTAAATGCATCCGAAACCTTTGCCATTCCACCTGGTGGTGAAGACACTCATTTGTGTACTTCACCAGTTACTGAGGAAGTACCCACTGGGGATGAGGGAGCAGTTGCTTCTGAAACAAATTTTGAAACATCAGTGTCTCCTGTTTCTTCCTCTTCAGATCCTCTAGATCTAACTCATATACATTTCAATACAGCTACGCCTGAGAGTAGTTCTCTTATTTGCCTAAGAAAAAAGGACTTCTTGACAGGAACTGGCCTGGATTCTTCACATTTGGTCCTTGTGACCTTTGAGAAAGAGGTCACCCAGACCAAAAAAGTCACCATTCCCGGCATTCTGGCTCCTGATCTAATAGCTTTTAATCTTAAAGCACAGGTGGTGGCAGTGGCTTCCAATACTTACAATATAATTTTTATCTATTCTGTCATTCCATCGTTCACACCAAACATCCAGCAAATTCAATTAGAGAGAAATGAAAAGCCAAAAGGTTTATGTTTCCTGACAGATAAGTTATTATTAATTTTGGTAGGAAGACAAAAATCCACTGATTCAGCATTTCTTCCTTCTTCAAAGACTGATCAGTATATCATTCATTTGATTGTTAGAGAAGTAACATTGGAAGAACTTCCAGTCACATCGAGTGAAAACCAGAGTGGATACTCTACTTTCAGCACTCCGTTAAATAAAACAGACAGAAAAAAACTAATTGAAAGTCTTTCCCCAGATTTTTGTTACCAAAACAGAGGGCTCTTAACAGCTAAAGGCAGCAGGCAAAGTGGAAAGCCTGAAAGAACCCTTATTAAAGAAATCAAAAGTCCTCCAACCAGTGTCTGTGATGGCTTCATCACTCTTAAAACTCTAGATGCTGAGCCTGTTAATGGCTCAGTATCACTGCCCAGATCCAGGAGCACACCCAACCACACCCTAAATCCGGAACCTCCTAATTTGCTTCCAAGAAAGAACTTACCAAGGGAAAAGGAAATTTACCAGCTGTCTAAGGAAATGGAAATTTTATCTAGGACCCTGACTGAAGTACAGCGATGTCTTTCTGAACTCACAGATGCTCTACATCGTGAGAAGTCCTCTCCTGTGTATCCGCTCTCTCAGGATCTGCCCTATGTGCACATCACTTATCAGGTAACTTCTTTGAGGAGCTACCACTGTACGTAAAAGCTCCTGCAGCCAGTGGGTACTGGTAAGAAAAATGCATTGATGAGGAAGATGGTGTTCTAGCTGAACTTCACTGAACTGGGCATGTTACATTACAGGCAAGTTGTTATACCTCTCTGGGTTGGTTGGCTGCCAACCAGATGGGCACACATGCCAGCATACACTGTGATTATATCACATGCGTGGTATAAAATATGAATGAGTGTACTCATCCTGGCAATTTATATTTAGAAAAAAAAAAGAATTTTCCTTATGTGGTATTTCACTGTGGGAAACTTTTCCTTATGCAGAGAGAAAGGTTAGGTTGATTTTAAAAAGTTTAATGGGGATCCCTGGGTGGCACAGCGGTTTGGCACCTGCCTTTGGCCCAGGGCGTGATCCTGGAGACCCAGGATCGAATCCCACGTCGGGCTCCCGGTGCATGGAGCCTGCTTCTCCCTCTGCCTGTGTCTCTGCCTCTCTCTCTCTCACTGTGTGCCTATCGTAAATAAATAAAAATTCAAAAAAAAATATTTTAAAAAAATAAATAAATAAAAATAAATAAAAAGTTTAATGCATCTGCAAACATACAGTATTACACAAATGGGACTATATCTTATCTGTTTTTATCATAAACATTTTTTCTTTCCCCATTGAACTTGACCCTGCCCCCCACCATTATCCGCTTTAACCCACGGCTTAATGTGGCTCCCTCCACTATTTTAGGTCATACTCATATAATCTTACACACTTCTTTATATACATAGGTCTATAGATGTGGGAGAGGTTGTCATTGTTTTTACAAAACGGGGTCCTAGGCTACATTCTTGGTGCTGAGAGTGCACTGTTGATGTAGCTGGTCCCATGCTGGTGGATATTCACATTGCCTTTGGCTTCTTCACTGTGTCTTCAGTCACTCCAAGTCGTGCTATAGTAGTACTCTTCTGTGTATCTATTTGTACTCCTACTTTTATTTCTGTTGGGTTGGTTCCCAGAAGTGGAAGTGCTAATTTGAAGAGTATATATATGTTTCTACTTTTAACAGAGCTACCAGATTGCCTCTCAGAGATTTTGTACTTAATGTATCCTCACATACCCATCCTCAACCTATGGGACTGTCCTTTCCCTCAAATCCTCATCAGTCTGATAAGTGTGAAGTGCTTTTTTCACTTTTATTCCTTTGTTTTTCCTTTACTATTAGTGAATTTGAGTATGTCTTCATGGTGTTTGGCAAATTAAGGATTAATTGCCTATTGCTTATTTTTTTCCTATTGAGCTATCAGTTTATAAGAGGTTTTTTGTATATTATAGAAATTAATAAAAAAAAGAAATTAATGTACATGTAATAGTCTAGATTCTCGTACTATTTTATTATATTAGTTTTTACATTGAAGTTTTTAATCTTTCATTAAATTTTGGTGTATGGCCCACTTTTATTTTCTGAGAGATAACCAGTTGTGCTGGCAGCGTTATTAAAAGTCCATCTTTGGGACACCTGGCTGGCTCAGTATATGGAATACGCAGCCGTTGATCTCAGGATCTTGAGTTCAAGCCCTACATTGGGCATAGAGCTTTCTTTCTTTTTATTTTTTTAAGATTTTATTTATTTATTCATGAGAGACAGAGAATGAGAGGCAGAGACATAGTCAGAGGGAGAAGCAGGCTCCCCGCACAAGGAGCTGATACGGTTTGTGATTCCAGATTCCGGGATCGAGTCCCACATCGGGCTCCCGGCGAGGAGCCTACTTCTCCCTCTGCCTATGTCTCTGCCTCTCTCTCTCTCTGTGTGTCTCTCATGAATAAATAAATAAATCTTAAAAAAAATAAAAAAAATAAATTCATCTTTAATCCCACTGAACTTGATCTACCACCACATTTGTCATCTATAAATTTATATATTGGGATCTAATTCTCTGGGTTCTCCATACTCTAACTACTATAATGCTGACCTCTTGTCTAGAACTTTACCAATATCACACTCATTTGATAACTGTGGACTTCTATATCTTCATTTTAAGATATTTGTAGAAAGTTGTTATCGAATCATTGATAAATAATATATAAACTCTTATTTAACAGTGATCAAGGGCAGCCTGGGTGGCTCAGCGGTTTAGCGCTGCCTTCAGTCCAGGGCCTGATCCTGGAGACCTAGGATCGAGTCCCATGTCGGGCTCCCTGCATGGAGCCTGCTTCTCCCTCTGCCTGTGTCTCTGCCTCTCTCTCTCTCTCTCTCTCTCTCTCTCTCTGTGTCTCTCATGAATAAATAAATAAAATCTTAAAAAAAAAAAAAGATGAAGAAGAGGTATTTTAGTTTTTTCTTAAAATTTACTACTGTTTAATATATAGGTTTGTGTTAATTTTTTAAATTATTTTTTACAGATTTTACTCCGTTATTTGAGACAGAAAAAGAGAGAGAGAGAGCATGAGCGTGGGGGGGAGGCGGGGAGGGAGAAAGACAGACTCCTTACTGAGCTGGGAGCCTGATGTAGTGCTCCATCCCAGAACCCAGAGATTATGACTTGAGCTGAAAGCAGACACTTAACCATCTGAGCCATCCCAGTGCCCTTTGGATGTGGTTTTTAAAGGAACCAAAAAATAGTTTAAAGCTGGATTAAAATTTTTTTTATTATGAAAAATCTCTAACATATATTTTTACTATGGAAAAATTATAAACATAAATAAAGACTACATAATGAACTCCTTTTTATATCTGGCATCTGGATTTAACAGTTGTTAGCATTGAGATACCTGGGTGGCTCAATAGTTGAGTGTCTGCCTTTGGCTCAGGGCATGATCCTGGGGTTCTGGGATCGAGTCCCACATCAGGCTCCTCTAGAGGAGTCTGGTTCTCCCTCCCTATGTCTCTGCCTCTCTCTTCTCTGTCTCTCATGAGTAGATAAATAAAATCTGTAAAGCAAAACAAAACAGTTGTTAGGATTTTGTCATAGTTGCTTTTTAAAAATTTCCTAAAATATTTTAAGTAGGAATGTCATGGTGATCTAACCCATAAATATTTTGTGATCTAATCCTTTTGTTGTATTAAATAATGTAGCCCAAAGCTCCTTATTTATAACTGGTCCAGTTATAGTGATAATATTTTTAAAAACTACTTATACATTCTATTCTTAAGAAATGTTAACTCTGTTGCTTCTGCAGTCAGTTTAACAACTTTTATTTTTATATTTGAAGAAATCTTATAATGTAGGTCCTGGTGTTGAAAAAAGAGCCATTCTCCTCTGCAATGGCAAACTAAGGCTCAGTACAGTCCAGCAGACTTTCGGCCTCTCTCTTATTGAAATGCTTCATGGTAGGTAGAATTGAGAAATTGGCTGTACCCCTCACCAACCTCCTTCTACCATCTATTTTGTAACTTTCACTGATAATGAAGATGAAGTATATGAACCATTCAGTGATTCACTAGATAGTGAATTCTTGTTCATTGCCTACAGTATACCCACGTCTATTATAGGTGCCAAAAAAACATGGAAAATATGGGTTCTACCCTTAAGAAACTTAAAACTTAACAGCCTAGCTGGAAGACCTAAATGTACACATGAAAAAAAACAAAACAATGTATAACAACTGCAAAGGAGTGACATAAAACCTCATATATACCTGTGGCACTAAACAAAGATCATAGCAGCATTGCAAAATATTTCTTAAAGGAGTTGTCATTTTAATATACAACAATCACGGGAATGTGAAGGGCATCCCTAAATGCCAGTGGACTGAGCCATATGCCCCTTCCATCAGATACACAGCATGGTGGTGTTTTATGCCTCATTCTTCTAATGGTAGCCACCACATTGAACATGAAATCGGTTTCATTTTTTCCTCCCTTGAACATTGTAGCGCCAGCACTTTTTTGTTTTGACACATGTGTTTGTGATGTGACTTAATAATTGTCATTTGTCCTGGGTGGGGTTAATACTCCATTCTGGGTGCGCCATATTTTCTTTGACCTTTAAGTGGTTTCCAGTTTTCAGCATCATACATAGCACTGATAAAAATGTCTCTGGATGTTTTACAGGCTGTTTTTAAGCCACTGGTCCTAGGTTTCCCCAGAACAAACCATTCAGGGGTTTCTGGACCATTCTTGTCTAGCAAGTAGTCAGTTCAGCATGCTTAGATGTCTAGAGGTTGGTATGGATCTAAAGAATAAAGGTTCCTCCAGAGAGTAGCTATTTCTACCTTCACATAGTTTCTGGAGAAACTGCTAAAGAACGTGTAGATAGGGATACTCCACACAAACCCTAACACGTGTGTGCATAGCACTGAGTAATACATGCCTCTCTCCTGGTTAAAAATGGATGTCCTCTAGCTATGCCTACGTCATCATTACCCACTCCTGCCATATAACCTCACCCTCCGTAGTACTGTCCTTCAGTCTCCCCATCCTCTTCTTGGTCTTATGATGATCAGTTCAATATTATCAACTACTCTATTCCTACCCTCAAAAAAATTTTTGTCTTTATTTTTCTTTATAGAATAAGATGAGATAGCCTAAATTGCCTATGTGTTTATTTTCCTTGCAGACTCACACTGGATCCTTCTCTGTGCTGATAGCGAAGGCTTCATCCCATTAACTTTCACGGCCACTCAGGAAATAACCATCAGAGATGGCAGCACAAATGTCTTCACAGACTCTGTCTCAGAGTCTTAATCCTGCTCCTTCTCTTGAAGCCTTTAAAGACCTGACTGTCCAGAGTCCAGATGCCACTGGCTGACCTGCCCGTTGAGGCAGCACTGCCTGATACTTATTTGTGGAGTATTTGCTGCATACATAGCTTTTCAGATGAGGCCATTACAGACGAGATCTCTTTTCCGCCAGGGACTCTCCTCAGCTGGGGTTGGCGCTGTCGCTCAGCGAGGAAGCACCTGCCACCGTTGGCTGTTTTTCCCCCCTTTTCCCCGCCCCGGGCTGAAGCTCACTGCTCTGGAGCAGAGCTCAGTCTTTGTTAGATGGCTCAAAAAGTGGTTGTTTATGTATTCGTGACTGTGTGGTTTTGTCTAAGGGCAAAATTCCCAGAACAAAACAGTATTATGGTGCCATATGGATTGTGTTTTATGGTTTCTCTGAGGCTTTCTGTCCCTTGCCCAAAACTGTTAAAGCTGTCTTAGAAGCACTTAAAAGGTACTTTAGCATTGTTATAGATCATTTCCTTGGCTTAAAGATGAGAATGAGAGGTACTGGAGAACATATGCTCCAACATATCCTCCTTACCCCAAACCAGCAGGAATCAGCAGAGCTCAAAAGAAGACAAAAAAATTAAGTGGACTTCTGTTCCCAGAATAGGCAGTCGTTCTGATGTGGCCTGGACCTGCCAGGATCTAAACCTAACTCAACCAGCTTCCTTAAAAAATTCTGGCTAACCAAGGTCCAGATACTCCTAAAAAGTAGCCCCAGGCAAATTTCAGATGAACTATCAAGTGCTTTGACCCCTGTGGACCCTACTTGAGCATGTGCTGATGTTAACGGTACAACGCCAAACTCTGGTGCAGTCTAGGGCATGATTACGTGCTGTCACTACTCCTGATTTTCTCCCTAGAATGCCCCCCCGCCCCCCAGTTTTAGGATCATAAAAATGTCCTATTTTTGTCCAGTAGTTAGCTCCCTAAGTTAAATTGTCACTTTAATTTTGATGTTCTCAAGTCTTAGAGACCAGCATAGTCTATGAGAGAACATAGTTCAGAGAATTGGAAATTTCACTCAATCTGAGGTAAGTCAAAAGTACCACCTTATTTTAATTATGGGCAAAAGTGCCGAGTTAGTAAAGTGGAAAGAGCCCTGATTGCAACTTCAGATAGACACGCCACTTCTCGAACAGAATCATATATTTCAGTGACGGCAGCATGACAAATTGATGAGTGTGTGGCTACTCAGGGTACATCTGCAGATAAATTGTTTCAGCCGAGGTTCCATTAGCACATATGCATCTTTTTGCCCCCTTTCCTTGAAAATTATCTGGAAAAAAAACGACTCCATACCCTTGGGGACTCCTGTCTGTCTGTTACCATTTATGAAGATGGAGCTGGAATAGGAAAGAAGTGAGGGCACATTTTGTGGTTCAGATGCATTAGGCAGCTGCTGGGATAATGGAAGTGGAGGCCGTTGGTCTGTAATCAGGTGCCTGAGAGCAGTGGCCGAGGACAGTCTTGAGGCCTGGTTCTGTCTGCAAAGGAAGTGTCTGGGCAGGATGAAAGACGATTATAAAGCCTGAGGGGCCTGGGGACCAGGCAGTAAGATCAGTGCGGGTGCCTCAAGGTACAGGTAATAGCCACCATTTCCCTGGTCAGTCCTGTGAATGAGTCAATAAAATCACTAATGGTTGTTGTGGCCGTTGTGAATGTTCTGATGTTATTTTTTCTGTGATTATCGCTGGTATAAAGACAATTTCTTGATTTTATGTTTGTGTATATTGTCTCTATTTCTTCTGGTGGACAGTCTGGCACATAAATTAGGTATTCTGGGGATCCCTGGGTGGCGCAGCGGTTTGGTGCCTGCCTTTGGCCCAGGGCACGATCCTGGAGACCCGGGATCGAGTCCCATGTCGGGCTCCCGGTGCATGGAGCCTGCTTCTCACTCTGCCTGTGTCTCTGCCTCTCTCTCTCTCTCTCTGTCTCTCTCTGTGACTATCATAAATAAATAAAAATTAAAAAAAAATTAGGTATTTCTTTACAACAAATGTGATTCCGTGACAACTCTCATACAAAAGACATTTCCTTGGCCTCTGCTATTATTATAGTCATTGGAGCTATAGAAGAAAATCCAGTATTTGCTGGCTTTGGAAACAAGGACAGAAGAGCTATAATCTTTTAAGTATTGTTTAATGTTCTGTTGAGAATATTTTGCATAAGGAAAGACGTTATTTACAAATCTCATTTGGTACCCAAATTTTTCTGAATTTTGTATGGGTATATTATTTGATGCACACAATACATATAAAGGCTTAATTTATTTTTATTTATATATTTTTAAAATATTTTATTTATTTATTCATGAGAGACATAGAGAGGCAGAGGGAGAAGCAGGCTCCATGCAGGGAGCTCGACGTGGGACTCAATCCTGTGATTCCAGGATCACACCCTAGGCCAAAGGCAGCCGCTCAACCACTGAACCACCCAGGAGTCCCAGAAAGGCTTAATTAAAAAAAAAAAAAAGTTATTTATTTATTTTTTTTTTTTTAAAGTTTTTTAAATTGGAGAACACAAGCAGGGAGAGAGGCAGTGAAAGTGAAAAGCAGACTTCCTGCTGAGCTGGAAGCCTGGACCCTGGGATTATGACCTGAGCCAAAGGCAGATGCTTAACCAACTGAGCCATCCAGGCAGCCCAGGAAGGCTTACTAATAAAATGAGCCACTTACCACCTAATTTAAGAATCAGAAAGTTGGGCAGCCCAGGTGGCTCAGCGGTTTAGTGCCATCTTCAGCCCAGGACTTGATCCTGGAGACCCCAGGATCAAGTCCCATGTCAGGCTCCCCTGCATGGAGCCTGCTTCTCCCTCTGCCTGTATCTCTGCACCTCTCTCTCTTTCTCTCTCTCTCTCTCATGAATAATTAAAATATTTAAAAAAAAAAGGAATCAGAAAGTTGCTAGAAACCATTCTGGATCCTTCTCCGTAGAGATAACTCCACCCCAAGGGAACTAATCTCTTGATTATTGTAATGATCATTCATTCTTTTTTTTTTTAAGATTTTATTTATTCATGAGACACACACAGGCAGAGAGAGAAGCAGGCTGCATGCAGGAGCCCAATGTGGGACTCTATCCAATGTGGGACTCATCCAGGACAAAGGGGTCACGCCCTGGGCCAGAGGGAGGCGCTCAACTGCTGAGCCACCCAGGTGTCCCCATTCCTTTCTTTTTTTTTTGCCACAACCACCTATGTACATTGGCCTAAACAATATAGTGTTTATATCCCCTTATTTTTGAGCTTTATACAATAGTGTGATATTGCATATAGTCCTCTGCAACTTAATGCTTTTCTCTCAGTATTGTTTCTTTTTTTTTTTTTTAAAGATTTTATTTATTTATTCATGAGAGACACACACAGAGAGAGAGAGAGGCACAGAGACACAGGCAGAGGGAGAAGCAGGCTCCATGCAAGGAGCCCGATGTGGGACTCAATCCTGGGTCCCCAGGATCACACCCCAGGCTGCAGGCGGCGCTAAACCACTGTGCCACCGGGGCTGCCCTCAGTATTGTTTCTAAGAACCATGCTTATTACATGTTTGTTCTGTTATTTTCACTGTTTGGAGTTACTGTAATATATCCATTTCCTGTTGTGCATATTTGCACTGTTGCCTGGTTTTATTTTTTGTGATTATAAACAATATTACCTGGAATTTTTTTAAAGATTATTTATTTATTTATTGAGAGTGAGAGCGAGAGCAGGAGCGGGATGAGAGGTAGAGGTAAAAGCAGACTTCCCACCCAGCAGGGAGCCTGATGCAGGGCTCAATCCCGGGACTTTGGGATCCTGACCTGAGCCACTCAGGTGCCTGTGCCTTGAATATTCTTGCTACGTATGTCCCATCCTGTTTGAGAAGTCTCTAGGGTCTTTTTTTTTTTAAGATTTTATTTATTTATTTTGAGAGAGAGAGAGAGAGAGTGTGTGTGTGTGTGTGTGTGTACATTCAGGCACCCATGTGAATGGGGAGAGCAGAGGGAGAGAGAATCCCAAGCACACTCCTTGCTGAGCACAGAGCTGATGCAGGGCTTGATTCTGTGACCTTGAGATCATAATCTGAGCCAAAATCAGGAGTCCCTGGAGCACAGGAGGTGTGTAAATTCAAATTAGTTTCCCAGGTGGTCATATCCATCTTCACTCCCCACAGTGATGTATCAGAACTCCTATTGTCCTACATGTCCAAGGCTTCTTAACTTATGACATTGTAGTGGTTTTAAATGGTTTCTCATTGTGATCCTAGTTTTTATTTCCAGACCACCAGTGAAATTGAGCATCTTTCATGTGTTTATTGACCATTTGAGTTTTCTTTTCTGCAGAATCCTTGTTTTGCCTCCATTTCTATTGGATTATCTTTCTCTTGAGTTGTAGAGATTCTTTATATCCTAGATGTTGTTAATATATGTGGCTAACATCTTCACCCTGTTGTGTCTTGGCTTTTCTCTTTATGGTGTATTTTGTTGAACAAACTTAATCTTAAGGAAGTCACATTTGGGACACCTGGGTGGCTCAGTGGTTGAGTGTCTGCCTTCGGCTCAGGGCATGATCCCAAGATGCCAGATCGAGTCCCGCATCAAGTCCCGCATTGGGCTCCTTGCGGGAAGCCTGCTTTCTCCCTCTGCCTGTGTCTCTCATGAATAAATAAATAAAATCTGCCTCTCTCTCTCTCAAATGTGTCTCTCATTAATAAATAAATAAAATCATTTAAAAAAGGAAGTCACATTTATCTTTCCTTTTATGAAAGTTTTGCCTTTCACATTTATTTCTTTAATCAACATTCTGTTGGATACTTCAGGGGAACCCTCTAAGTTTTCTCTCTGTGTAGCTCACTCACTCCTGTCCAATAGTCTGTCCTGCAAACTCTAGCCACTTTGGTCTCTCCTAACGCAGCTTAGCTTAGAGTACTCTGGGCCCCAAATGGTTCTCTTCACTGTCATCTGGAAACTCTCAAGGCAATAAGCTGGGATAATTGTAAGACTCACCTCATTTGTTTCCCATCTTTCAGAGATTCCTCCTTTGTTGCTTCATATCCAACGTCTTGAAAACTATTGTTTCATATATTCTCTCCAGTTTTTTGGGTCTTCTTTTCATTGCTTCAGCTGAGAGGCTAGGTCTGGTCTCTACTATTCCATCATGGCCAAAAGTCCTTCCACATCCTGTTTATTTGCTTCTAGGTATTTTATATTTTTTTTGTTGCTACTGTTTAAAAATTAGGCTTTATAATTGTTGCTGGCATATATAAATGTAACTTGTTAGTTTTATGTCCACCTATCTGGCTATACTCCTTTATTCTAATACTTTATCTGTAGATTCCTTTGGGTTTTCTGTGTAATCATATCATTTACAAATAATGACAATTTTGTTCCATCCTTTCTAATTCATCTGCTACAAAGTGTTGAGTAGAAGCAGTGATAGTGGGTATTTTTATTCCTGATTTTAAAGGGATTATTTCACCATTAAGAATGATGTTTACTATAGGTTTTTGGTAGATACCGTTTTTCAGGTTTAAAATTTTCTTTAAAAAAAAAAGATTTTATTTATTTATTCATAGAGACAGAGAGAGAGGCAGAAGGAGGCAGAAGGAGAAGCAGGCATCATACAGAGAGCCTGATGTGGGACTTGATCCAGGGTCTCCAGGATCACGCCCCGGGCTGCAGGCGGCGCTAAACCGCTGCGCCACCGGGGCTGCTCTCAGGTTTAAAATTTTCTTTTCCTCATGGTTTACTTAGTACTTTTATCATGAATGGGTATTACCTTTTTATCAAATGATTATCTATTGAGGACACAATTTTTTTGTCCTTTAATCTGTTAATGTGGTGTCACTTGACAGATTTTTCTAACGTGAAACAAATTTTTCATTCTTAGAATAAACCCGGTGCATTTATGTGTTTATTTTTTAGACATTGCCAGACTCGGTTTACTAATATTTTGTCTCAGATTCTTGCTTCCATATTCTGTGTTCAAGATTAGTCTCTAAATTTCCTTTCTTTTTTACTTTCCTTGTCTAGTTTTGGTATCAAACTGATTCTAGCCTGATGATATGTTGCAGGGATTGCCCTTTTTCTATTCCCTAGAAAAGTTTTCATAAGCTATGAAATGATCCTTGATGAAAGTTTGATGGCACTCGGTAATATCATTTGGAAAACACCTTGTGTTTTCTTTGAGGGCATACTTTAAAATATTTATTGCATTCCTTGAACACTTAGGAGATCATTTAGCATTTCTGTTGTTTACATTCACACACACATACACTCAGTTCTATTAGAATGCTTGCTTTGAAAACACAAATGTGCTCCAACACAGTTACTATATTAAGGAGCAAATAGAGCACAACATGAGTTTCCTTGTTTATTGCACCAATGTTGTCCTTAAGAAACACTTGGTGAACACAGAAAACTGAACCCAGCTGAGCAGAGTCCCTTAGGAGACAGAAATGGACACACCTTCACGTGAGACACCTTGCAGGCAGCTGTCAGTTCTCCATGTGTGTTAGGAGCCACAGCCAGCCTATCTGGAGCTACAATTTTCTGTCTGATTCCAAATAACTTCTAGCACGTGATAGTAACCTACAAGCTGTAACGCTTTCCTCCCGTTGTTTGGTCCACACTTGATGTGCATGAGGACAGAGCGGTACAGTGAGTTGGGAAGAGAGAAAAGTAAGAAGACACCAAGTGTTTGGGTATGGTGACCCAATAGGTGCTGACATCATTGACCAGAACTGCAGGAGACTGAACAAGTGTGGGGAGGCGGTAAGTTCCACTTTAGACAGAGGCTATTTTAACTACTGGAAAAACATTCAGATGGGCTTCTGAAGTTCAGCAGAGAGCTCAGGGTTAGAAATAGGTATGGGGGTGCCTGGCCAGCTCAGTCTGTTGAGCATCCAACTCTCGATTTCAGCTCAGGTTATGATCTCAGGGTCGTGGGATTGAGCCCCGCATCCGGCTCCGCACTTGGCGGGGGGAGTCTAAGCCGCCTGCAGCCTGAGGTAGGATCCTGGAGACCCGGGATCGAGTCCCACATCGGGCTCCCTGCATAGAGCCTGCTTCTCCCTCTGTGTCTCTGCCTCTCTCTCTGTGTGTCTATGAATAAATAAATAAAATCTTAAAAAAAAATAAAAAGACAAAAATAAATAAAAAAGAAAAAAATAGGTGTAAAGGTGATCATGAGATGAGATCACATGGCCCCAAGAAGCCTGAGATGACTACAGAGCATCAAAGGAAGAAGCAGCAATGTAAAAGTTTTACAGAAAATGAATGGCCAGAGATGGTGGAGGAGAATGGGACAGGTGCATCACATAAGCCAAGGGAGGATGGAGTTTTGAAAATGTGTGGTCAGCATTTAAATGGCTACTAGTCATTTCAAGTTTCCTTGGTCAGATACTACCTCCACACACACTCATGCTCTGTCCCTGGGCAGTGGGGTCAGGAGAGCTGACCCCATGGTGGGGACAGAGCAGGGGGCTGAATAGAAATGCAGGGGCAAGTCTCTACCTCCTGGTCACCTCTTTGGGCATCTGGGCTTCTCTAGGAGATCCTGGGGATCAGAACTCCCATGGGTCCCCCAACCCCTCTGCAGGCCCTAATCCACACAAGCCTCTGTGGCCTGCTGCCCTGGGCTACTCTAAAGTCTCAGCTTATTGCTTCCAAAGGAAAGAAGGATCCCACCTCCCATGTGGCCATCTCTGGTCTGAAGAAATGCAGAGTCAGGGATGTATGGCTGAGGGGACATAGCCAGGTACAGTGACATCAGGCACCCTGCCCTGTCCCTCCTCAGGTGGTAGTTTCCCAGGAGGTAGGATTAGAGTGCTGGCTAGTCATATTTTACAGACTCAATAGAAGATAAACCCTTTAATATTTTTTTGAAAAAATAAACTTCAATGGGTCTTTCTTCCCCAAAGATACAGCCTTTAGAAAACTGTGGTTCTTGTGCTTTTATAAGATACAATTTCAGAAAAATATTTCCACAAAGATAACTTTTGTTCATAAAAATAATTGATCTTAAAAAAAATAACTGATCTTTGGTGGCTTGGTATCAGTCTGTGTCTGATTCCAGAAACAGTGTTGCCAGCTTATATGAACAAATGTTTAGACTGAGAAACCCTTCTCGTGCCCTGCTTGGCTCCTCACCCTCTGCTGTCCCCATTTGCTCCCTCTGGGGTCTCTTGGTCTCTGTCCCTATCTGTGTCTCTCAATGTCATCCCCAGCATGTCCATTTGTCCTCTGCCCATTCACGTGGTGTCCATCAGCCTCTCTCTCAGATGTCCGCTGGAGTGTCTGTCAGGAGGAACGAAAGGTCTGTGCATCTCTCTGTCAGGTGAGCAGGTTGTTGGGGCTTCCTTTTCCCAGGAACAGTTGCTGTTGGGATGCTTTCCCCGTCAGGGTTACCTGGAGCTGGGTGGTCCAGGGCACAGGCCTATCTGACAGGGTCTGTGTTCAATAAGCAAGAAATGGCAGGTGAGGATCCTGGAGCCCAGGCCAGTCCCTTTCAGGGGATGTCACTGAAGACTCCATATCCCAGGAGAAATGACAGGTCACATGTATCCTTCCAAGTAGGTGGGCTAAGGGACTGAGAAGAAGAGGGACTTCAAGGCCAGAAGATGCTGGCTTCTGCTGTTCCAGCCCACACAAGGTCAGACCTCAAGCGAGGCTATAGCTGGTCCTCCTGTCAAAGGGAAAGAAACCAGACAGATGAGGGTGGAGGGGGGACACTGTCCAGCCACAGACCCTTATGGAAGTGGCAGTGGCAGCTCCCTGCCTCCCTAGCAACTCCTCCCCTTCCCAGCCCCCTGAATAAAGCTACAGCCCTTATCTTTCTCCAAGTCCAACAAGCAGTTCCCCATCTGCACATCATTCTGAGTTATGCTGTGTGATCTCAGAGTCTCAGCCATCCACACTGAGAGTGAGGGACCCATGACAATGTTACTTCCTGCTGATCCCATGTCGTCCTCTGTATATACATGTGCTTGTATTTGTGAATCTCAAAAAACGTGGCCACATGTTGTGAAAGCTGCGGGGCCAGACGTGGTAACGCAAGTGGCACCAACTTGGCCTTGGCCTCTGTGCTGGGCTTGGCACACAGGAATGAATAAAAGACAGCCCCAGCCTTCAAGATCCCACAGTCCCCTTAAGAAAAGAAGAAATCCAGGAACATATGGCATCACTGAAGCTGCAGGAAGAGTCTGCAAAGGCGGGAGTGTTGGACTGTGCGAATGCTCAGAGACAACTGCTGACCCATTAGTCTCACACCGCTGCATGTCTGTGCTTCCCTGGGTGTGGGCACCCTGTGTGTGCCCACGTGCACGAGGTGCCCACCTCTGAAGGCTCAGCCGACGCGAGGGGTCCTGGCTGGGCACCTTTGGGGCCGGGCCAGCCATGAGGATGCACAGACCGGTGAGGATCATGCAGGTGGGCACGGCACCGATGAGGACCTTGAGGGTCACCACCACCTGTTCCGCCTGCTTGCAGGCTCCTGCCTCGTACCCTGCAAACCTGGAGAAACAGCATCCCAGGCATGCAGCTCAGAGGCCAGTGAGCCTGGCAGGGAGGGTCCCAGACACCTAACCCCCACACTACCCTGAAACTTGGATTCATTCCTGGGCAGATCGGCTTAACCGAGGGAGAGTTGAGGGAATGGGCTGGCCAGAGAGCTCAGGCAGGACAAAGAATATGGGGAGCTGGGGTTTCAGAAGGGACACAGTCCCCAAGAAAGGCCACGTCTCAGTCATGTGCATGGAGAAACCTGGGGCAGATGTTGCCCTATAGTCTCTAAAAGAGCACAGCTGGGCCCTTGAGCCACACGGGGCCCCTGGCCCACCAGGGTGGAGAACTCTGCCCTCTTCTTCCCACCCTGTTAGTCTTTTGTGCCTCGGGAGCGGCCCGACCCTGGGACTCACTCCAGGCTGAGCGTGGAGATGCCCAGGGCACCTGCGCCGGAAAGCTTGGTGAAGAAGACATAGGAGGAGTAGAAGATGGTCTCCAGGCCTGGGCCGTGCTGGTGCTGCAGCTGGAAGTCATCCACCACATCTGGAAGCATGGACCTGGGGGAAAGGGCTGCAGAATTATCCCCTTTTCCCCCTTGATAGCCACCAGCCTCAGAGCTCTCTGGGGACAGACCCAGTCCGAGTCATCCTTGGGTTCCTGCCACCCAGGGCCAGGGCCGGCCCTCAGCCAGGCATTTCTGCGCCCCTCCCCCGCAAAACAGCTGCCCACCATTCCTGCCGCCTGGTGGTCTCTGTCCCCTGCAGCTGGGAGAGCCCCGCCCCAGCAAGGCTGGGCACAGGGGCCTGGGCCAACATGAGGATGCGAAGCTCCCAGGCCCCCTTGCCCTCACCCAGCCTACCAGGGTAGCAGCAAGGACACAGCAATGCTCAGGCCAGATACAAAAGCCACCACATATGCCACTGGTGCTGTGGGTACAGCAGCCAACAGGATTGCAAAAGGCACCATCACCTGGGGAGACAGATACACTAGCTGATCCCTCCTCCTGCCCGATTTGCTCCTTCATTCCCACACTCACCGGTCTTTACTAATAACCCCCGAGCCTGGGCCTTTGCTGGGGACTGAAGACACAAGCAAATACATATCAGCCCTGCCAGCCCGCAGGGAGGGTCACCTCCCTGACCCTGCCACCTTCCCTGCAGCCACCCCATGCCTTGCTTCCTGCCTCACTCACACAGATCCCGAAGGCTGACGTCTTTTTCCCAAATCGCTGTAGAACCCACTCCCACAGCGGGGTGCTCAGCACAGCCGAGACCTGTGAACAGACAGAGTGATCCCCGCCCAGGCCGTGCTGCCAAGGCCTTTACCCACCCAGGGTCTAGAAGCCCTGGCTTATTTAGGCAAGATGCTTGACCTGGACTTTGCCCCATGGTTGGAACCAGGGGCTGTGAACTTTATGACCCTGGCCTCAATCCCACCTTCTGCTGGAGTGCAGGTGACTACAATCACAGAAGAGTCTAGAATGTTGACTGGAATTCTGGCTACACGTCTTGTCAAGAACCACACAGGTCTTGGGGACGCCTGGGTGGTCCCAGTGGTTGGGCACCTGCCTTCAGCCCAGGGCGTGATCCTGGGGTCCCGGGATCGAGTCCCATGTCAGTCTCCCTGCGTGGAGCCTGCTTCTCCCTCTGCCTGTGTCTCTGCCTCTCTCTCTCTCTCTCTGTCTCTCGTGAATAAATAAATAAAATCTTAAAAAAAAAAGAACCACACAGGTCTCCAACTCAGGTCCCTGAGTGACCTTGTCCCTGCCACCCCAGGACCACTCACCAGGATGGTTAGCACCACGCCCTGGACATGATCATGCAGCCTAGAGGCATGTGTACAGAACAGGACCAGGTAGCTCTGCTCCACCTGAGGAGGCCAAGACGAGGTGGGTGTGGATAGGGGATGACAGGAACTCAGGGGTCAAGAGCAAGGCCTAGGTCTCAAGTCTGGCCTCTTTGGAACCTCAAACGCCAGCTGCTGCTATCATCAGGCCACGGCCCCCCAACAAAGGACACTTAGCCCAGAAACAGCTGTAAATACCACTCCCAGCCTGTTCTCCTCTTGCCTAGAAGTGGGTCCTACTACCCAGATTCTCTCAGCTTCCTAGGATCTAGGCCCTGACCCTCCCCAGTCCCACAAGTTCGGTCTAGGCCTCACTCCTCCCTGCACTGGACTCTCTGGAACCCATGCCAGCCACCACTTCCCCCGAGGTAAGCCTAACTCTGCTTGGTGACAGGCTCGATCTGTATCTACACGGGGTCGAGGTGGCCAGAGGTACCTGAATGGCTGCTGAGATGAACAGGAAGGAGATCACCAGCTTCAGGTAGGGCGGGTGCCGGACAGTGAGGCCCAGCCCAGCCAGGAAGCTCAGGCCTTGGCCCGAGGCTGGGGCAGAGGAGTCTGAGACACGGGAAGGTGACACTCCAGCTTGGCAGAATTCGAAACCAAAACCCAAGCCCAAGAAGAATCCTGTCCCAGCTCCTGCTTCCCATGCTCTGACTGCACTCCCTTACCTGCTCGCTCCTTCACCCCGAGGCAGAGCAAACCACTGCACACAGGGTACATCATAGCAACCACGGCGGCTGCAATGGAGTAGAGACGAGTCTGTGGGACAGGACAGATCTGGGCTAGATGTGATGTCTCCATCCATGGAAGTGGGGACACCCAGGGCAGGAGCACTTCCCAATGGGGCAGAGGAACCCCCAGGCCAAGCCCAAGGATGCTGGGTGCCTCTCCTCCCAATCCCCAGAGCAGGAGACAGAGATCTCAGAGCCCTGCATGGTCCGTCTGCTGCCCTGTGCCTCCTGCATGAATAGGAGGGCATCCATGCCAACAGGGGTCTGAGCCCTTCCTCTCTCTCATTTTTTTTTAAGACTTTATTTATCCATGAGAGACAAAGAGAGGCAGAGACACAGGCAGAGGCAGAAGCAAGCTCCATGCAGGGAGCCCAATGCAGGACTTAATCCTGGACCCTGGGATCACGTCCTGAGCCGTAGGCAGACGCTAGATCCTGAGGTTACAGTGATGAATAAGTGACTCCTCTCCCTCCCCAGTAAGGGGCTTGGAGTGTGGAAGACAGACTCCTGAGCAGACAGTCACAGCACAGTGTGAGGCATGACGACCCAGAGAAACGGCAAAAACAGAAATGGTGCCACCTGTCATCCAGGGAAAGATATGTGAATAATAAAGTCCATGTAAAGACATGCATGGGAATGACAGTCACCTGCTCAGGCTGAGGTTGCCTCTGGGGAGGGGAAGAAAGAAGGAGGTGCACAGGGCCTCACGTGGGTGGGCTCAGCGCACTTGCACAGGACCCCGCGTCCAGGAGGGAGCTGTGGTAGGCGCTAATGCTCTGCTCTGTCTTGAAACGCTTGATCATTTTATCTATGAACCTGTGTTTTGTGAGTGAGGTCGACGGGACCACACAGCCGGAGCTGCCTGGAGCTTTGTGCCTTGGCTCACAGGAGGCTCCACCTTCTGCAGGTTGAGTTCTCAGCCTCCTGCTTCCCATTCCTTTACACTCTAGGCCAGGTCACCCCAAAGCCACCATCACCCCCGACCCAGAGAGTGACCCAGTAGCCCTGGGGGGGGGGGGGCTGTGGAGGCATGAGTGGAGGCCAAGGAGGACATGTGGGCAGAGGCCACAGCCTTTTGGCCTTAGGCAGGCAGCCCTGATGGGTCTGAGAGCAACTGGGCGGGGGCCCTTGTGCATCTCCACCCAAGCAATCCCTTGGTTAGGGCAGTGGGCAGGACAGACTGACACCCCTGCTCTCTCTAGAGCCCTGTCTTTTCATTTTGCATTGTCCATAAGCAAGTTTTGGAGCTGGCCCTGCAGGTGGGTCTGGGGATGGATACGCTGGACCTGATTGTACTGTTTTCTGAAGTGGGTGCTGGGCCACAAGGCGGTATTATTCTCACACCATTGATTCTCAAACACTGGTGGGAGTCAGAATCCCCTGGACGGCTTGTCCAGATACAGACAGCTGGCCCCCTCCTCAAATCTGTAAATCAGTAGTTCTGGGCGGCGCCCAAAAGTCCGCCTTTCTAACAAGTTGCCAGGTGATGCTGATGCTGGGGCCCAGGGACCACACCTTGAAGCCCACAGCTGTGTAATTTTTCTGTAAATCTGAAATATTTATTAAATGAGCAAAGAAGAGCGATGCAGAGAACAGTGAGGAGGGGCCCCCGACGGAAGCTGAGGAGCAGCAGCCCCGGCGGTTGGGGCAGGTGAGGGCCCCCCCCCCCCCGCGTTAGGACTCCCCCGCAGTGTCCCCCTGGGCGTGCGGGGGCGGGGGGGGGCTGGAGTATCTGCACGAGGCCGAGGCAGGGCTGGGGTGAGCAGGGAGGTGGTGGTGCCACGGGCCAGGGTGGGCCAGTGCGGATGCAAGGTCGGCCCAGGGGACCCGGCCGAACAGGTGGCTAGGACTCGGTTGGGGGGGGGGAGGTAATGGCCGGAGAGGGAGGGGTGAATGTTGGCTCCTGGGGTTCTGGGGAGTAATGATACCATTTGCTGACGGGAAAAACAGCTGAACTGGGGGGATAAAATAGAGGCGCGCCCCTTAGTTGCCTAAGAGAGATCTGGACTGCGGGGAGAGGAGGGGCTGCTCCTCCTGGAGGTTTCCCTTCTCCTGCGCCCCGGTGAGGCTGGGGCGGGGCCGCGCATCCCGGGAGGGGCGCCGCGGGGAGGGGTTCTGCGGGGAGGGGGGTTCTGCGGGGAGGGGGGGTCTGCGGGGAGGGGGCGCCGCGGGGAGGGGGGGTCTGCGGGGAGGGGGGTCTGCGGGGAGGGGGTTCTGCGGGGAGGGGGGGGTCTGCGGGGAGGGGGCGCCGCGGGGAGGGGGAGGGGGAGGGGGAGGGGAGGCCCGCCCGCCCGCTCCCCTCCAGCGCGTTCCGCTCCTGCGCTCGAGGATCTCGCTTGCCGGGGAGAAGGGGCGGGGCGGGGCGGGGCGGGGCTGGCGGGGACACTCACCGCGTCGGCGGAGACGGCGAGCGGCCCGGGGGGCGCCGCGTCCTCGCACGGGTGCGGCCGGTGGGCGCCGGACACCAGCAGGCCGTGGACGGCCGCCCCCATCAGCGTCCCCGCCATCTCCATGGTCATCCCTGGGACCGAGCGGCGCCGGGTGACGGACGCCGGCGGGCCCGGGGGTGGGGGCCGGGCCTCCCGCCCGCCCCCAGCCCGCACTCACGGTACGCGGTGGCCGAGTCCCGCTCCCTCGGGCAGGGGGTCAGCCGCATGGTGAGCGCCGCGTACGGCACCTGCTGGGACTGCGCGGCGGCGGCTCAGCGGCGCCCGCCCCGGCCCCGCCCCCGCCCCCGCCGCCGACCCCGCAGCCCCGCCCCCGCCGACCCCGCAGCCCCGCCCCCGTCGACCCCTCAGCCCCGCCCCCGCCAACCCCGCCCCGGCCCCGCAGCCCCGCCCCGGCCCCGCAGCCCCGCCCCCGCCAGCCCCGCAGCCCCGGCCCGGCCCGGCCCGCGCCCCCTTACCGTGGCCAGCGCCTGGAACAGGCAGTAGAAGGCCGTGTACCAGAGGCCCCGCAGGCTGCTGAAGGGCGGCAGGAACCACAGGAGGAAGTAGGCCACGGCGAGGAAGGGCGCGCAGCCCAGCACCCTGTGGAAGCACCGCTGAGGCCGAGCCGGAGGGCGGGAGCACCGGCAGCCCCATCCCCCTGCGGGCCGTCCAAGGCCTCCAGCCCATCCTGGATCGGCCCCGGAGCCTTGGAGTCTTTTTCCAGCCCTGTGGCACCCGGTGACGGATGGAGAGTCCCCAACGATGTCTCTGAACTCCCGCATGGCTCGCCTGACCGAGTCCCTCTCCGTCGCCTAGTACCACCTTATCCTCTAACCATCCACAGGGCTTTTCGCTAAGAAGCAGGGCCGTGACAAACACGGGGTGGCCTCAGGCCAGGGCTGAAGGCAGGACCCCAAGGACTACAGGGCTGCTCACCAGGGCATGAGTCGTCCAGACCCTGTCCTACTGCTTCGGTTGATGAAGAACCCAGCCACAGGGTCGGCGGCTGCCCCAGACACCTTCCCTCCAAACAGGACAAGTGACACCTGGGCAGCAGGGATCTGAAAGGCACAGGTGGAGGATGGCTGAGGCGGGCAGAGGCAGAGAGGGTGTCTGGGCCTGCCCACCCACCAGGAGAAAGCACTGGGGACCCGGCAGGGGGAGAACCACAATGTAAAGGGTCTGTTGGGTCTTCTTCCCAGGAGACAAATCCAGAGGCTCTGAGGCAGGCCTGCGCTAGTGAGAGGGGCTGACGGCCACACACTGGCACGTTCCCATTACCCCTCATGCCCAGTCACTTTTGGAGAAGGCTCGGGGACCCTCATCTGTGTAAGAAGGGTGATAGAGGTAGATGTTTTGTTTCACAAGGACAATGTTTTATTAATTTTTCTGATTACATAAATGACACACCCATTATAAAAACATTCAAACAGTACAGAAAAATACTGAGCAAAGCTCACCTGAAATCCCCCCCCCGCCCCCATCCTGAGACAACTGCCAAAGCATTTTGGTGATCACCCTTTCAGGCATTTATTTATGTGCATTAGTAATTTATCATTCTACATAAATGAGATCATATCAGTGTCATTCAAAAAAAATCATGGGTACTGTATTAGCAATCTTTCTTCTGCTTACTCTGTCCTCCGCCCTTGCCTTCCATTGCCAACATCAACAGCCTGTGTTTATCCTTCTGTAACGTACTTTCTCCACGCTTGTATTTTAATCATGTATAGTCGCATATTTACACATGCCCATGTACCTGCATCTCTGGGGCATGTCTTTTGTTTCAGTAAAATGGGGTCAATTTGTATACTCTTCTCTAAAAGCAACTTTTTTCACTTGACAACCCATCGCAGAAATCCCTCCAAGTCAACTGGTAGCCGTCTAGCTCATTCTTTTGAGTGACTACGTAATAAATAGTCCATTATGTGGATATTACACAACTTATTATCCAACTACTTTTCTATTGTTGGGCCTTCATGTTGTTTTCCCATTTCCCACCACAAACAACCTGCAATAAACATCCTTAAGGGGTTTGCCCTCAAAGGCTTTTGGCCTCTCGCCAGTTTTGGGACAGATGTGCCATCTACTGGGTGGAGTAAAGGAAGTTGCTGGAAGAACCAGGTACCAAGGAAGATGGGAGTAGGGGGTGCTGGGCTGCTTCCCACACTCACCTGTGCCACATCAAGCAGGAAGAGTTGAAGGTAAAAGGCCGTGGCGCTGGAGGCCACCTGGTTGGGCATCCCACCGATGCCATAGCACACCTTGGTACAGAATGAGAGCTGGCCAGCTCTGCTGTCCTGGGGGGGAGACACAGGAGCTAAGCCCCCCACCTGCACAGAAACACAACAGTTCCCTGCACCCTCCTGAGCCTCTACAAGCATCCTGAGGTCCCTACGTCCGGAGGGCCTTTCCAGCAACTTCTCGATCCTAATTTGCCATAAATCATCTTAAAAGGAAGTGAGACAAAGAGGAAGAAAAAAAAAATCCTAAACCATGAACTCTCAAAGGTCCCACAGGGCCAGTTCTCCCTATTTCCCTTGATGCTTCCTCCTGCAGGCTATTTTATTTTCTGAGTCAGCAAGCCAGAGCTAACTGGGTGGGGGGGGGGGTGCGGTCAGGAGGCTCCAACTTTGCCACCAATTCCCTCTGTGACCTCGAATAAATCACTGTGTCTCTCTAAGCCTCCCATGTCAAAAGGAATGCTCCTGCCACCCTCAACAGTTGTTTGGATGAGCAAATGAAGCTGAGCGTTGTTTGCCCCAAGAGCTGATTGTTAAATGTTCAGGACTTCTGCCTGTCGTGCAACACTGGCAGCCCTGAAATCAGCTGTGGGGAATTTATACCACAGGAATCAGCAAACACTACAAACCAGAGTTGCTTTATTTTCCTGGAGAGACTGTTCACCAGCCCACCACTGAAATAAAGTAATGCTTACAACTCCAAATGTGTGTGCGTGTGCACGCGTGTGCGTGGAGATACACATAGATCTCCCAAGCCCTAAGCTATCCCGTGAACTCCAGACTGGAATATTCGACTGCCTACTCACAGACCCACATGGTTGCCTACCAGGCATTTCAGCTTAGCATGGTCAAAACACAGCTCCTGACTTCCATCCATTGTCTAAATCAGCTCCCTAACCCTATTGTCCCCATTGCATTAAACGGCCCCAATGTCCAATGCCCATCCACTCAGCAGCTCAGGCCACAGACCTAGGTGTCCTTGGTTTCTCTTTCCCAAATGCCCCACCAAATCTATCAGTGGCTTCCTAAGTGGCTTCCCTGCTTCTGCTCTCTGTTCTCTACTGTCCACTCTCTATCCAGCAGCCAAAGTGATCTTTTCATAACATAAGTTTGATCATGTCTTATCTCTGCTTAAAACTCTCCAACAGGGCAGCCCCGGTGGCGCAGCAGTTTAGGGCCGCCTGAAGCCCGGGGTGTGATCCTGGAGACGCGGGATCGAGTCCCATGTCAGGCTTCCTGCATAGAGCCTGCTTCTCCCTATGCCTGTGTCTCTGCCTCTCTCTCGCTCTCTCTGAATAAATAAATAAATAAATAAATAAATAAATAAATAAATAAATAAATAAATAAACCTTTATATAAATAAATAAATAAAGACTTAGGGATCCCTGGGTGGCACAGCAGTTTGGCGCCTGCCTTTGGCCCAGGGCGCGATCCTGGAGACCCGGGATCGAATCCCACATCAGGCTCCCGGTGCATGGAGCCTGCTTCTCCCTCTGCCTATGTCTCTGCCCCCCCCCTCTCTCTCTCTCTGTGACTATCATAAAAAAAAAAAAAAAAGACTTAAAAAAAAAAAAAAACTCTCCAACAGCGGGTTCCCTTGGTGGCTCAGCGGTTTAGCGCCGCCTTCAGCCCAGGGCCTGATCCTGGAGACCTGGGATCGAGTCAGGCTCCCTGCATGGAGCCTCCTTCTCCCTCTGCCTGTGTCTCTCCTGAATAAATAAATGAAATCTAAAATAAAAAATAAAACCTAAAAACTCTCCAACAGCTTGCCATTGCAGTTTTGAATAAATTCCAAGTCCAAGCCCCTCCCATATGGCCTACAGGAGCCCACCCAATCAGCCCCCACCCTGTTTCCCAGGGACAGAGTCAGCTCTCTTCAACCTTGGTTAGCTTCCTTGCTATTATTCCTCAAAATGATCATGCCCCTTGCTGCCTGTTCCTCCAGTCTAGAAGGCTCTTTCTCTGAGCCTTTGCCGAGCTGACTCCTTGCCATTGAAGTCTACGCCTGAATGTCATCTCACAGAGGCCTTCCCTGACGACTACCCAAGTGTCTCTCTCAAGTACAAGTACCTGATGTGTTCTCATTTATTTTTTGCCTCTCCCCACAAGAACATAAACTGAGAGTTTAATATGCACTATAACTTTTATTCACCACTATGTCCCCAGTACCTACAACCATGTCTGGCTGTCTGGCCTATAGTAGATGCTCAGTATATATTCGTTGAAGAAATAAATGCCATGAAGAACTGGGTAAAAGGCTATTCAGAAGATGCTGGGAACCTTTCCCTTTGATCCTTTGCTTGGGGATGGGCGGTGGGGGGGAGGGGATGTGAAGAGGACTAGGACCTCACTCATTTTAGTGTATCTTGCAGGACACCCCTTCTGAAGGGAAGTGCTTGCCAGATAAGGATTTATCACCTCCTCTGCACACTCTTCCTACCCGCAGAAGAAAACCCACACACGAGGCAGGATGTCACCTCGTTTTCTGACATTTGTGTGAACATTATTCTAGTTTCCAGAAACTGTTATAAGGGGCAGAAGAGAACATGATAGCCCCACCCCCACCCGACGGGCCTCCTTTCCCCCTAAAGGCTCCCAGCAAGCTTCTGGCCGGCAGAAGTCCCTTGAGGGCTGGAGCAATCCCAGCTGAAAGTAATCTTGGAGCCTTGCGGGTGGCAGTTTCACCTACTTAAGTCATAGCCTTGCACAGTTAACAGAGCACAAGCGTTAGGGTTGGACCAACTTGGACTCAAACTCTGTCTGCCACTTCTGGCCAGGTGACACAGGGCGGGGCCCTTCAACGCGACTGAGCTTCATTTCCTCGCACGGAAAATGGGGTAAAAAATACACGGCGGGGGTCGTTATGAGAATGAAGTGCTGCTACTTCTTTGGCAACGGCAGTTCCTCTCTTGCCATTAACGCCCCCTCCCCCCCCACACACACACGCGCGCGCGCGCACCCCGAATTTCTAAATTTCCCTGGAAAAGGGCAGTGTCCGGGAGCCACAATCCTTTGCTCTGAGGAGTGATGGGAAGCGCTGGGGTTGGCAGCGGGGCCCGGGGCTGGCGGGGGCCCCCGCAGAGCAGGCCGGCTCCGAGGTGAGGTGCCGAGCCCCGCGCGCCCCCCGCCCGCCCCCCCCGCCGGGGCCAGGGCCCGAGGGCAGCCCCGCTTCCCGCCCGCCCTCCCCTCCCCTCCCCTCCCCTCCCCACGGAGGAAGGCGCCTCTGGGGCCGGGCTGAGCCTCCCCCGCGAGGCGGGAGCCTGGGAGGGGCGGCAGCTCCCCCTGCCCCCACGCCCCGGCGCAGGGAGCCCGGGGAGCCCGGGGCTGCGGCGGGCGGGCGCCCTGGGTGGCCTCGGGGGCCAGAGCCCGGCCCCGCGGGCTGGGCGGACCAAGCAGCCGCAGCCGGGTCTCCGCTGGTGCGGGCTCCGCTTCCCTCCGCTCGCCACCGTCCGGCCCCCCGCCGCCCCGGCCCCGCCGCCCCCGGCCCCGCCCCGCCCGCGCTCACCGAGCTGCGCTCCGACGGGCGCGCTTCCTCGACGGCCGGGGCCCCGGGCGCCCCAGCGGACGCGGCCATGGCGCACGGCAGCTCCGTCCGCCCGCGGCCCCGGCCCCGGCCCCGGCCCCCGCCCCGCGCGTTATCTCAGCCCGGCGGGCGCCCGGCTCCGCGGGGAGGGCGGCCCCGGGCCGGGGGGCCGAGGGGCGGGGCGCGGCCTCGCGGGGGGCGGGGGGGGGCGCCCGGGGGGCAGGTGCCTGGGGCGAGCGCCCGCGCAGGCTCGCGCCGCACACCCTGCTGGGTTCCCGCGGGCGCGAGTCGCCAGATCCATTAATTGGAAAGACGAAGCAACAGACTTGGCCTTTTCAGACTAGGACTATGGCTCAATAGGTTTACAACCTAAACGTGATACAAGAAGCCTGAACCAGCCTCACGCAGGTGAGCCAGGTGTGGCCACGCAACCGAGCTGGGCGGCGAACCCGGGCGGAGCAGTGTTGATCCGCGTTCTCCGCCAAGTCCTCCAAAGCGAAGGCCTTGGTCACTTCGCACCCAAAAAGCCGCCGGAAATGCACCACAGACCCAAGTGTGGATGCTAGAACTAACTAACTAAAACTATAAGACACCTCGAAGAAAACAGGAGCAGATCTTCATAACCTTGGGATAGACAAGGCTTCCTGGGACACCCACAGGTTGGACTACCTAAATCAAAAGCTTTGTGCTGCAAACCATCCAAGTGAAAAGATAACCCACCGGATGGGAGAAATATCTGGGAATCATAAAGTGATATTGGAATATATAAAGAACTCTTGGGACACCTGGGTGGCGCAGCGGTTTAGCGCCTGCCTTTGGCCCAGGGCGCGATCCTGGAGACCCGGGATCGAATCCCACGTCGGGCTCCCGGTGCATGGAGCCTGCTTCTCCCTCTGCCTTTGTCTCTGCCTCTCTCTGTCTCTCATGAATAAATACATAAAAAAAAAAAAAATCTATAAAGAACTCTTAGAACTCAACGATAAAAGGCAACCCAATCTGAAAACGGGCAAAGATTTCCAGGTGTTTCTCCAAAGATAGACAATAAGCACAAGAAAAGCTGCTTATGTCACTAAGGAAATGCAAATTTACAAGACACTACGCCCCTGGACTGCTAGATTAAAAAGACAAACAGTAACAACCATTGGGGAGGGTGTGGAGAAATCACACATTGCCGGCGGGCATGTAAATGGCTGGAGGCGCTATGGAAAACTCTGGCACTTCAAAAAGTTAAACATGGAATTACTGTATGACCCAGCAATTCTTCCGAAGTATACACCCTAGAAAAAAACATGTTTACACAAACACTTGAACACAAATATTCATAGCAGCATCACTTGCAACCCAAAGGCAAACCCCAATGTCTATCAACTGATAAATAAAACGTGGCAGGTATATCCATACAATGAAAAGGTGTAAATACCATATATTATATGATTCCATCTATATGCAACGTCCAGAATAGGTAAATCTGCAGACAAAAATGTAGGTTTGCAGTTACCTAGGAATTTGGGTAGAGAATGACTGAGTAGGGGATTTAAGACAGGATAAAAATATTCTAAAATTAGATTGTGGTTGCAATCTTGTGCCTATACTAAAAGCCACTAAAGCCACCCACTTTAATTGGGTGAATTTTAAGATGTGTGAATTACATTCCAATAAGGCCATTCGTGTTTTTAAAAGAAAGGTGCATGCTTGTGTGTGCTTCTTCCCATTGGATGGAGTGTAGATGTGACTGGTGCTAGAGCAGCCCTCTAGAGCCTGGGCGTTAAGTTTTAGTATTAGCAGATTAACACGCAAGTCTGAGGTTTCC